AGGGGGTTACGTATTACTAACCTTGGGGACTCCATTTAAGATTGGCAAGAGTCAGATTGGTGATTATTATAGCAGACATACTGCATCCTGTTGGACAGATATGAGGTAAACCAATTGTGGGACACGCCCTAATGTAATGTTCAAGTTTGAGAGGAGGATGGTATAATGACAGTATCAAAGGCTTTAGAGAGGTCCAAGAATATACCAATATGAACTGAATGTCAATAAAGGAATTTAAGATGTTATTAGTAGGCTTAGATAAATATGCATTTAAAAAATGGCTACATATGCATGCAAATATGCAGTAAAAACTGAGAAAATATGCACTTAAATATGCACTTTAAAATTTGTTAATAACAACAACTACTATTAATAACTCCTTATCTATACATTTTCTCAGTAAATTTACTTTCCAGACAGATGTCGCCGAAGTAGGATTTTTTAAAGAAGGAAAATACAAAAAAAATATTACACTGACATAAAGTAATTTATTAAACAATACTGAAAAAGTATTTTCCTTTAAGAAAATAGAAGAACAAGAGTGTCAAGAGGAACTAATGAAGGCCGTGCATCTATACCCCTGCCTGGCTGAACACGAACCCATCACGACAGTTCATGTCCACTGACCAGCCAATCACGGCCTAGCTAACCAAAGCCCAATGTTGAGCTATATAAACGTCACTTAAGTATGTTCTCGGATATTATGACGCTCAAAACAAAATCGTGTATTTTCGATTTTGTATTAGTGCAATGGACTTTTATATATCAAATATCAGTCATTTCTGCCCCAGCATTGCTGTTATGCTCGCGATCTTGACCCTTGAGGTTGAAGAATGTTTTATAATATTGAATTTTTCCAAATACAGTGATCCTCGGTTAACAAACGCCTCGGTTAACGAAATTTCGGTTAACGAACTGCTTCCATAAGAATCTTCAATTCGGTTAACGAACAAAAATTCGGTTAACGAATTTCTTCGAACCGACCTCAACATGTTTTTGCTTGCACTGGCCGGGCAACCAGCTTTAGTATCAGTCCGCCAATACATTAATCGGTTCTAGGCTTAAATTCTCTACTATTTTAGTAAATATCAAGAAGTTTATACTATTCAATAATTTTAAAAGTTTAATATTAAATTTTAGTCATTTTAACAATTATTGAACATAATTGAAGGTAAAGTGATTAGTATAATGCGCGGCATCCAGCCTCTAACACAGCAAACAGGCGTTAGCCTCTGTTTTCACTGAGTTAACATCTTGCTTGAGACTCTTCAACTAAACTTTTTTCTTGTTTCCAAGCAAATTATTGGTCATTTTGAAATATATTTTACATATTGACAATATATAATGTAGTTCAGTGTTGATTTAAAGAAAATAATCTTGAAATACACCAAGAGAACTAAATTTATGGGAAATGGTGCCATGGGGTGACTTCAACCCCACTTCTTCTCTCCACCCCCCATTCTGATTCCCATCATCATCATCATCATCATCCAGGAGCCTTACATACACACCTCAAAGTAAGTGAACTTTTCTACCATTTTTGTTGAATTTAGGCAATTTCGGTGAGCTGAACCACTACCAAAACCCATTGAAAACAATGGTTTCGTTAACGAACTTTTCGGTTAACGAACAACATGCTGGAACGGATTGAGCTCAAAAATGGCTTAATATGCATTTGACATATGCACATATGCAAACATTATCCTAAGCCTACCTATTAGCAATGTCGAACATCATCCAAAGGAAGGCTATAGGTAGAAGGATAAATCGAGTGAAATTTACACTCAGGGATTATTATGGGGTTATGCAGTAGGGTTAAAACCGAGATAAGGAAAGCCAAGATGAATAATTAAGTAAGGATAGCAAGGAGGCGAAGACAAACCTCAAAGGATTCTACAAAATGTATCAAACTAAAACACGAGAAAAGATTGAACCAATAACGCCAGATAACCGTGAGCTCACTGATAAATACGAAGAAATGAGCAATAATTTGAATAAAAAATTTTCAACAGTTTTCACCAACCGAAAATTTAAACATAATACCGAGGCACGGACTCATTCAGAGATATAATGAAAACAAATTATGCGAGATATTAGTGACTAGTAAGGATGTTAGTAAGCAAATAGACAAACTAAAGCCTAATAAGTCACCTGGTCCCGACGAGATATTTGCCAGAGTATTAAAGGAATGAAGGAAGAGCTTAGCATGCCCTAGCAAAGTTATTTTATCATGTCCTTAAAAACAGGTGGTACCAGAATCCTGGAGGATAGCGAATGTATACCGATTTCATGAAGGATAGATCACTATCCTCCAACTACGCCCAATCAGTCTAACATCAATAGTAGGCAAATTACTGAAGCAATCATTTCAAACTCTATTCGAAATCACCGGAGAAGCACCGATTGATCAATGATTCCCAGCATGGCTTCACAAGCGGACGCTCATGTCTAACTAATATATTAACATTTTTTTCATCAGTATTAGAATAGGTGGACGAGGGGCACAATTATGATGTGGTATATCACTTTAGCAAAGCCTTCGACAGAGTCCCCCACTAAAGACTAATTAGAAAGGTAGAAGCACGTGGCATCGGTAATATCCTTAAATTGATTAGGGCGTGGTTATAGGACAGGAAACTGTGGTGGGATGAAATCCTAGACAAGGTTCTTCAAACCCAGAGCACGAGCAGTAGATATATTCAATAGTAGTACAAGACTTGCAGGATAAATCCAACCACAGAAACAGGAACAGAAGCAAAGGACCTGCGGCCCGTAGGCAAGGCCGGGTTTATCTGAGGGAAGAAGGCTAGCTAGGCAAGGAGAGTTATTACAGACATTACTAGGACAATAAATGAGGTCTTCTAGTTACTCTCTCGACTAGCTGCAGACATAGTACATCGCACATGGTAAGTGAACATAGGCATTAGACATAAGCATAGATATCAGACATGCTATAATATAAACACAGACATGTGAATAAATGGTACAAATGAATGGCAACAGAGTCTTGGCGTCAGGCGGTTCACATCTTGCATTTACATATCTATACACCTCCCTCCCCTTACACCGAGTGCAATCTCGAGCGTGCTGGGTGACTTTTTTTCCATGAGCCGGGAGCGAGGGACAATGGGAGGATCAACTGACGCACTGCTCCTGGTCTGGGCACAGGGACGGTGAGAAGGTCCGCTACCAGAGGATGGCACTGGGCGGAGATGGCGCTCTGTTTCGGCCACCAACGCACTCACTGGGGAGTACGGACTTGTACAAACGAGTACTGCCATCGCCCATGACGACCCCGCGACCTTGTCCCAGCGGTGTGACGCCGGGTCCTGATTCGTACTTAAGGGCTGGGACGGTCAACCTGGGCAAGCGGGCGGGGCGCTATAGTGGTTGTCACTTGGGCTATCCGGGTAGCCTTCACGGCAGTCACACCTTCGCCCCGCCTTTTGGATCTGCCATTCATCTAAGAAGGACTGGGGTGGGCAGGCACATTGGGCACGTAAGGGGGCGGCTACAACACCTGGGCAGGAGAGCGTCCGCAGGGGTGGTAGGGGTGTTACGGATTCCAGTAGGCTCCCCTGTCGAACTCCTTGCAGTCCAGGTTCTCTGCCGGAAGTTGTCTTGAGGATGAGGTATTTTGGCGGATTCTTACCGCTGCTCGGCGTGGCCATTCGCCTGCGGTAACGAGGAGGTATGGTGGACGCCCAGCCGCTCGCGGTTTCCGAACTGTGTATTGAACGGGGCCCACCGTCGGTTCGGAGGCGGAGAGGCACTGATCAGGAAGAAGAATAAAACATCCGGATGACCCTGGAAGAGGGTGGTGTCCCACCAGGGAACTACCACGGGCCATCCAGAGAGCCTGTCATGCACCACCAGGAGACTTTCCGCCACATTAAAGAAGTCGGGCGGACACGGACCTGGGGCACGCTTCGAGGTCGCTGTAACAGGTGGTCATTTTGCTGCTGGCTGGGCCGAGCAGCTGGCAAGGCTCACAGGCCTCAACCGGTGTTTCATTATCGGCCAATACCAGGCCAGAAGACGGTCTGACGGGCTCTGCGCCAGGTTTCAACGCCGCTGTGGCTGTCATGGAGGCGGGATAAAAAGCGCCGGCTTAGGGCAGCGGGAACGACGATCCTGGGGCCGCATAACACCAGCTCTCCGTCCAAAGATAGAGGCTATCCCTTAGCTTCCAGAAGGGAGGGCGGAGGCGCGAATGTCGAGCGTTGGTGGGGAATCCAGCGGAGACGCGGGTCGAGGAGTTGGACGATGCCTGGTCTTGGAGCGGTATGGCGCGGCCCTGGAGAGTCCTATCGCCCTCGATGGAGGCGTCGGCGTCGCCTTTGGTCAGCAAGAGAAGTGGGCTGTGTGTGTCACCAAAGACCGAACGCGGAGCCGCGGGCCGTAAGGCCAGTCGACTTCATCTTCCCGTGTGGGTGACTC